CACACATGTCCTGCCCCCACAGACACCATGTGCACACATATACAAACATACCACATACACACAGGGCATACACGCAAACACATACAACATACCTATACCACACATACATGCAGCACATGCTCACTGCCCCCTCAAACCACATACCCGCACATCCACACCACCAGCAACAGCTCCTCTAAAGTCTTCGCTGTGCTACTGAATTCTGCCTGTCCTTCAGCCCAGGCTCAAGATGTTGGGGACAAACCCCATGGGGCACTCCTTGTGATGTAGTCCCAAAGCACTGATGGCTTACCCGTCACCTGACACTGTTGGTAATGTGATGTGTCTTTTAAATTTTAAGCACAGGTTCTTTTTAGGATTTGCATTGTGACCTGAATGAGATCTAGACCTTGATTAAATATTGCTCAGAGAGATATTTGAGAGAGAGAGAGAGAGAGAGAGAGAGACAGAAGACACAGCCCGCATTCCCAGAGCTGGACTCTCCCTGCTTTGTGCGACCATCACAAAGCAGAGTACCTTGCTCATGTTACCTTGGCTGCTCACATCGTGCTTTTGGTGAGTTATGCTTTAATGTCAGGCCTCTAGCTTTTATAGAGGGTCGATACAAGAATCATCTGGTTGAACAACATTTTGGTATCTTTTGTAAAACTGCAGTTGAAGACATCATTCACTGTGTCACTCAGTGTCCTTTATACAAGGATCCACACGATAAATTCTGGCTTGTATTTAGTTCCAAGAAGAAATTCTATTTCTGCAGATAAATTAGTTAGCATGCTTCCTGCTGTCAGAAAATGAAAACTGTGTAACTCTGGGTGCTTCTCTTTCTGCTTAGCGGCTAGACAAGGGAGAGCCAAATTTATTGCCTGTGTGTGTAATTTGCTCAGCTGTGGGGTCCAAAAGCACTTACTCCTTCTACTTCTTTTAAATGGACTTATTTTATTTTATGTTCAAATGTCTTATTGTACTTTTGCAAGATGTGTGAGTCTGGAAGCCATCTGGGGAAGCATTCGTTTGCCTGTTGATTTGGCCTATTTACTGCTTGTGCTGGCTGCTGGGGATACAAAGATGAATTTGACTGCACCCAGCTTTTGAGGAGCTCACATTTCAGTGTGGAGAATGGCTTGGACATTAATAATTACAAAACAAGGCTGGTGTTCTCAGAGATGCATGAGGCTGAAGGAGAAGACTTGGGGAGAAGAGGCTAGGGAAGGCTTCCTGAAGGAAGCTTTGTGGCTGCAGTGGGAAGAGGACAATAGGTGGAAGCAGATGTGTTTCTGAATCTTGAATTTGAAAAGAGAGATATCTTTCTTGTGTTGTCCTCTCGTCCTAGTTAGACTGGAAACTCTTTGAAGGCAGGCATGGATTCTATGCCCCTGTTTGACTCCAGGATGCTAGGCAAAGTGCCCAGGCCAGTGCCATAGTTAGACAGAGTCTGGACCAATCAGCTGCATGGCTCCCTAGCTGAGCAGAGTTAGGCAGGTTTACTTAACCTCTTGGAGCCTATCTATAAAGTGGGATGATAATTGTGTCTACTTCTGGGGGATGTGTGAGCATTAAAGAAGCAAACACAAGCAGAGCACTTACGATCATACTGCCATATTGCAAAATTCTCTAGAGACATTGGCTGACATCCTCATTCATCTGTGCTGGCAATGATCCTATGCTATTCAGGGCACTGAGACCACAGGGTGGTACTGCACAGCCGAATTCAGCTCAATGCTCTTCACTCTCATTTCCAAATGACACTTCAGTTAAAAAGAGCATTGTTTTATTGTTTCCCGAAGGGTGTGTGGCAGTCAGTCATCCTCTAAGTCCTAAGTAACCTTTGTGACTGATGATGTTCTTACACCTAAAGGGCAATCCCTAGCTCTGGTTGTCACACCTAGGGCCTCATGGGCCCAGTGCTTCTGCCTCATTTTGTTTTCATCAGTTTCTTTGTCTACTGATTTTCAGAATCAGTCGAAGTTTATGTTTCCTGATTTACCATGGGCAGGTGGTAAATAAAGAGAGAACTATAATCTGGATTTTTAGCCTGAAAAGGGAGTACAAAATCTTATGTGAATGCGTGTATACACATATACACATATGCACAAGTACACACACACACTCACACACACACAACTGGCCCCAGAAAGGGTTCTCCTCTGTATGCCAGTGTTGTGGTGGCAAGTGTTTAACAGATGTTTGCTGAAAAAAAGACGAGATTTACAACATTTGCCAATTTCCTTGGTGCAAATTCTCTCACCATGGCTGATTTCAAGCTACCTGTGTGATGTCACTGAACGTGGACTTGGGACGAGTGGCATAGCAGTGTACCGTGAACTAGAATTCCCACTGTACAGACACAGCGGGTGCAGAGAAGCTCAAGAGTATAGATAATAGCAAAATGTAATAAGCTAATTAGCAAGTGATGAATTCTAAGCATGTTATTTTTGTTTTAAAATATAATTTAATTGTAAGCTTACATAATTTGATTTTCAGCATCTACTGTGTTTAATAACGGCTCCTCAAATTCCTGAAACGTTACTAGTTGGCTCTTATGATGTGGTATAAGCCAGCTCCAGCACACCCCTGGGAATGTCCTCCCACCATCAAATCAATGATCTCTTCCAAATGGTGCCTCTCACATCACCACTAAATCTGAGTTCCTTTGGGATATGGAATTGCCTTTATACAAAATTCCTCAGGCATAATCTACTTCTACAGAGGCCTGTATGCAAATGTATGGACAAACCTCTCCTGCTCAGACTTGCTCATTTTCCCTACTGCCCTCCACACACCCCGTCTGCCCCCACGCCCCGCCACAAGAAACACAACCACACCTATATTGAAACTTAGGAACACATAGGGAAGAAAGTAAGGAAGAAGGAAAGAAAGAAAGAAAGGAGAAAGAAAGAATTACAAGGGGAATACTTGAAATGAAGGTGAGGGAAAGTAAAGAGGAGAAGAAATAGGAAATAGATGAATGAAATAGAACAATATGGGGAAAAGGGATATAAGACAAAGACAAAGAAATGGAAGGAGGCATAACATCTAGTCACTGCTTTATTCCCACACCTGAAGTCCAAATAATAGGATTCCAGGTAACTCCAACATGCTGCATTAACTCTGTTAGTTTTGTTGGAGCCCTTGTCCTAGCCTTCAGCCCAAACACCAGCCAGCAGGATTAGGGGGGAGGCAGGAAATGGCTCCATAAACAATCTGCAGTGTTGACATGTCTTTTGATGAGAAGAACCTCTATCTGCAATGTGGTCGGGAGGACCACAGACACCAGACAACCTCCTAAGGAGTTTAGATGGCAACATGGCATGTGATCTCAAAATGGCAGCTGGGAGATGTTAACACGTCTTTTCTTATTGGGATAGTGTGCTTTTACAATAAATAGGTATTTCAAATGCTCTTAATTAGACTTCCAGCCCAAGTGCTTTCCATTTGAAGGCTGCTGATTGCTCCAGGCAAACTGGGCCTGCTGACCCTGACACCTGCTGCCATGCAGAGGAAGGCTCCCAGGGAGTCGGATGAAGGAATGAAGGCACAAATTGCAATGGAGGACATTCAGTGAAATCCCAAAGGCCCAGGGAATGCCTGCCCCCACTGGATGGACCAGCGTGGGAGGCTCCAGGCTGGAGAGAAGGGAATATGGCATTCCCCTTGCTCTGAGAACATGGAAATGGCTTCCCAGGCTGGGGACTAAAACTGCTCCTGGGGCTGAGTGGCATTTTCACATCATTGTCTCCAATGAGTCAGCATCATGAAGGCTAGAGAAGAGGCCTAACTGTTTGAGGGCTAGATGGCAGCCCTTGGGGAGACTCCACATCCAGTGACCTGCTCAGGGTAAGCAGAGGGCAGAAGACTAGGGCTTAGAAGTCAACTTGCATGTCTTCCCAACAGAACCATTTTTCCTTCCTGACACTAGCTTGATGGATTAGGTTCTCCTTGCTGGAGAAGGTGCCTGGCAGAATCCCAGCTCCGAGTGTACCAAGTCCCTGGCGATGAAGGACAGGCATGGTATCCCTCATTCCCAGAGCCAGCAGTAGGAAGTGTAGAGCTCCAGGCAGAGAGTCTTGGGGTTGCTTGTGCTAAGATTCTGACATAATCAGTTATTCTTTCATATGATCCTTTTATTACTGAAACTGAAAAATCAGCCCTTCTAATAATTCCTAATAAAGCTAGGCAAATGGGTCATTCCCATGATGGTAGGGAACTCTTCTCTCCTGTTGACCCTGAGGTGAGGTCATGGCAGGGTCCAGGCTTTCTCAGGGGAGAATACAAATGGTTGGGCCTGGCTAGCTGGGAAGGAAGGGAAGTAAGTCTGCCCGGGATACCTGCGTCATTGGCCTTCTGGAAAGCTACTGTCCTCCCAGGTGGTTTCTATGCATCACGTATCAAAAGGGGGCATTTGCTGCAGATGTCCACCACTGAAAAGGTATGGAGGGCATCCTGGAATGGGAGCCTGCTGGTTTGGGTGTTTGTGCCGAAGTGGACCAGTCATCCTGTGGGAAGTAACAGCCTGAGAGCGAAGAGCACCAAAGTGGGGCTCAGGGAGAGCTGGGGTCAAATCCTGTTGCAGCACTCACTGGCCATGTGGCCATGGACAAGTTTCCTCCTTCTGGCAATGCACTGACCTTTCTGGACTAAAGATGGAAAGACACAGTTCATGTGAGGCTGTGTGCAGAGGTGGGGTCCGTTTCAATCGTTAGTGGTTATGTTAGCAGTAGCTTTAGCAGGCCAAGGTAGCACCTTCAGGTGTCGGGACACAGGGTGGCTGAGGTTGGGGAATAGGTCAGGAGGACAGGGAAGCAGCAGGAAGGCAGGATGTCACGTGCCGACAGCCAGGAGTAAATAACCAGTGGGCAAACCGGTGCCCAAGGGAGGCGCACTGTCAAAGCTGCATTGATCTTAACCCTTGCTTCTCTCACCATCCTGGGCATTGAAGGAACATCTTTTGGCTAGGTCTGCTCACGTCACTGTCACCGCCCCGGGCTCTGCTTTGTACTTACCTAGAGCTACTTGCTGTATGGACCGCTGGGTGATCTCTTCCTTCAGGTGCCCTGTCAAAGACACAGAGGAAAACCACCAGTGAGCTCCCAACAGCTGGAGGAGTAGTTTGCTGAGAAGCATGAGGCAAGCTAAAAATCAAACTAGCCAAGCAACCAAACAAAAAAGATAGAGTCAGAGAATCAAAGCAGTGCTATCCTCTTCTAGGAACAGCCTTTCCTGGCCCTGGGCTGTGTTGGATGGAAAGGCTACAAGGAGCAGGCACCAGCATATCAATGCAAATACACATTTCACCTTTGGATCCAATCATCTTACGGTTTAATTATCTTAGTCTATCACTCATAACCTTTGCTAAGGCCCTACTTTCCTAAATAGGTCTGTCTATTATTAATGAAAGGAAAAGAGAACTTGATATCTTCTAGGGACACTTTTAAATCCGTTTCCCTCAAGCTGTATGAAACTGTGCCAAATTAAAAAAATACAGTGCTTTTAGTTGACAATAATCTTAATGGTTGATCACTTGGTATGAAACTCATACAATTCTAGGTTGTATTAATAAAGTCATTGTGTGGATCATGGGAGGTGATAATACTTTCACTGCAGTGATGAGACCACAGTCGGTATTTGTCCCGGGAGTTTCCTTCATAAGAAACATGAGGAAAAAAAAAAAAAGAAGTATTAGCAAAATGGAAAATATTCAAAAGATAGTGACTGGGATGGTGATAGTCATGTCATATGAGAAGTATTTTAGGTAGAGAAGAAAAGACTTGGAGGGAGAGAAGTTGTCTGGATAACGACTGTCTATGGATCTCTGAATGTTGTCATATGAATGAGAAAACAGATTTATTTTGTCTTACTTCTGAGAGCAGAAGTCAAGTCAAAGAAAGGGGCTCAATATGAGAAAGAAACAGCTTACAAGGAGAACTGTCTCAAAGTGGATTAAGTTGTCTCAAAAATGAACTGAAAAATTCAGGCACAGCAGGGAGCCCCTTCCTGAGTGCTCCAGCAGAAGCCGGGTGACCATCTGTTGGGCTTTAGAGTGAGAATTTCTGCCTTGGGTAGGATTTGGGATGCAGTGACCTCCAGGGTGCCTCCGTCTCTAAATCCCATGATTTCGTGCTTGAGGGATGGGAGAAACAGCAGCCCTGGGGCTTGTTTATGTCCCAGGGCTCAGCACACTTGTTAAAATGTCAGTGCTGTCTGTATTGTGAGTCCCATGTGGAGTGTGATCAGGTCCCTGGGGAGGCCTGAGCTTCACTGCTCCCTTGTCTAATGGATTTCTTTCCTCACAAAAAGTACATTCTACACTGCCAAGGTGAAGACTAGTAGGCAATGAAGTGGTCACAGGAGACCTTGTCACTCAAGAAAATTCCACAGCACTTCTCTAATGTTATATTGGGAAGGATGGCAGAGGTCATTCAGTTTCACTTCCCACCCAATTAAGAATTTCTTTCTATAGAATGAAGCGGTATTTCCCTAACTTATATGAATCCAGGCTGTTCCACAGATGAAGCTTCATGGAAGGAATTACTCATGTGGAATTAATACCTGTTTCTCTGTGACTTTCAATTGTTATCTGCTCTGTTCTCAGAACCAGAGACAGAGCCAGGACAGTCCTTCACACATATGAGGAACTACACTTCCTTGGCTTCAACTTGCTCTCTCTGGGTTAAACATCACCAGTCCAGGCCCCTGCCTCAAGGTGGTGGGCTCCCCTATCATCTAGGGGAGGTTCTGGGGCATCTGCATGTCTTCTTATTGCCTGCTTTGTGTCCCACTAAAGAGGATATGCACAGAGAGGGAGCCAAGAATGGGCCTAAGCAATAATTGCACCCCAATTCTAAGTGGGGAAGGGGGACTTTAGGAGTGTGTTGAGAGGGAGTTGGGAAGCAGAAACCTGACCTGATGGTGGGTACTGGTGAGGCTAGAGTCAGCAGGAGAATGACCAGACACCTGGTCAGCCTCAGCCACAGCTGGGACCCCCCTCACTATGTCATATGACCCTTAATGCCCTGGTCAATGGAGTAAAGAAGCTGGGGGTACAGGCTGTTGCTGACTGAGACTCTAATCTGCACCAAACATTACTGAATTGAGTTTTCAAAGAGCACAGCGCACGGATGCTTCAAATAAAGAAGACATGGCCGTGACCAGTACAGCATGCCATGTAGAAAGTCCTCTCCGCCTGGGAGAGGGCATTTAAGGGCTTTCTCGTCTCAACCATAGGGAAAGCCAATGATGTCTCCCTTGGTGCTTTGCCTGTGTCATGAGTACCTGGCATAGGTAGGTGCCTTATACCACGAGCCTCACACATGCCCGGGAGCCATCTTCCTCATGAGCCCGAATGAGGGCTTGTTCCTTTAGAGCATGTACTGGGCTGGATTCCTCCCTGGAAAACTACCTCCTAGATAATGGGCCTCCCAACCTTATGCCTTACTGCAACAGGTGTTCAACACAGCACATCACAGCTTCCCTACTCTTATTGGAATGACTCCTTCTCCAAACCCCAGGCAAGCTTTTTTTGGAATGAGAGGGTTAATATTCTCCATAGTCCCTGGCTTACTCATATAAACAAAGAGGGGGATTTTTTACCAGGACTGAGAGTTCTATAAATTTCATAAACACAAAATCTTACTCTTAGAACGTTGAAGCATCCCTAGGGCACAAAAGGTGGGTCTTTATGTTACGTACTGATGAAAATTGTTGGAAAAATGTAGTTAGTGATGCTCAGTTTTGGCTAATTGACTAACATCCTCCACCATATGGCAATATTTTTTGAGATATCCCCAAACAAGCTTCTACAAATAGCTTTATGGCTGATACTGAATTGCATTTTTCAGCAGAGCCGTTCTTCATGTGACGATAACAGTCACTGAAATCTGCCGGATCTTGCAGCTCCCCAGGTTTTGGCAAAAGAAAGAGTTGAGGGGGCTTGCAGAATTCACTCAGCATGCAGCTTGCTGTCATTACCACAGTGATAAATTTGCTGGTTTTGGCTAGATTCCTGGACACATCTCCATCCAGAGGTATGGAAAAGAGATGAAACGGAAACAGAGAACACCCAGCCTGAGGCAGGGAGACAGTTTGGGAGGGAAGCAGGGAGCCCAGATTGGGGTGAAAACCAAAGGAGCAGGGGAGGGAAGAAAGACTGTGCTCATAGGAGAACGCTGGTAATTAGGACTTTTTCCTCCAGTAACTTACAACAGAATGTTATGCAGTTACAATATGTTCTTCCTCTTTCTAATTCATTAATTAATGGAGAAGGCATCAGTGGGGGCAGAGGGGGTGCACCAAGCCTGCATCCACTCATAGGAGGTTTCCAGAGGAGATGTGTGGCCTTGAGAGCAGCCATGAGCAGGGCATGTGGAATGGGTGCACTGTATGGTGTGCGTCTTCTCTGTTACCAAATGGTCTGTAGGAAAAGTGTAATCACCATGTGGAAGCAAAATGGATTTTGTAGAGTTCAGTCTTTTGGATGCAACAATTTTCCTTAAGCTAACTCCCACGGTTTTGCATGCATGTGAGTCTGAGATCACTCATTAAGTGAAAACTGCCAGGCCAGCTCGGAGGACAGTGATTCCCTTAGGATTCCCCTTCCATGGCCAGTGCAGACTGTTTCTGTGATTTCTGTGATGCTGGGCCATACTGAGGATGTTTACATTGCTACCAAGCTATACAAACTGTAGAAAACTCTATCTCAGCCTGAGAAAGTTAGTACAATACAGGAATCAGCAAATAGGTGGCTGCATGTTTTTGTTGACCTCCATCATAAATTGGTGTATTAATCTGTTTTTCATTACTGTAATGAAATACTTGAGGCAGACTAACTTTACAAATAAAAAAGTTTTTTCTTCAACCACAGTTTTTGAAGGCTGAAAGTCCAAAGATCATTTCACAGGTTCTGGTGAGGGTACCCCCTTGGCTGTGTCACCTCATGGCAGACGACAATGGTGGGAGGGAGAGTGGGAAGGAAAAAAAACACATTGCCAATCAGAAGCCAGAGAGAGGCTATGGTACCACATTCCATTCTGAGGGAATGATCCCAACAAACAAGGACCTCCCATTAGGCCTTACCTCTAAAGATCCCACCTCTAATATCACCATACTGGGGACTAAGCCTCCAACACATGAAACTCTGGGGGACACATTTATGGTGTAGCCAAACCAAACCTGAACCTGAAAAGCTTGGCTCTCCAACACAGCATCTTGGGCAGCTAGAACCAATCAGTGGGAGTTGGCTTTGATTTGGTGGTACGGGGGTTTGAACTTAGGGCCTCATGCTTGCTAGGTAAGGACTCTATCACTTAAGCCATGCCCTCAGCCTGGAGATGAAGCAAACATTTTTTAAAAATCCTTTTCATTATACCAGAAAATAATTACAAGGTTGGAGGTATCTGGAGTTGTGTTCAAATCTCACCTCTGCTACTTCTTAGTTGGATGGGCCATTTCAACATGTTTATGCCCCAATTTCACAATCTGAAAAATGGGAATAACTGCAATATTATTTGCTTGACCATATCTCAAGATGCTTGGGAGGAGCAAGGGAAAAACGTACCAGCACATGTGTTATTAGGGCGCTTTCAGACATACTGAAAGGATATCACGTAATTCAGATGATAGGCCTTGAAGGCAAGTTGCTAAATCAGTGGTGGAGATGAGGTTAGAGAAGGAAGTGTGGCTTAGAAAGGCACCATCACTAGGGTGAGGCTGAAGGAGATTCAGCAAAGAGCAGGGGTTAAGTTAAGAGGGTCTGAGAAGGTGTTCTAGGCAAAGAGAGCTGCCAGGAAAGGGTGCAGAGAAGGACAGATCAACTCTGGTTTGGGACAGCAGCTGGAGGGAAGGCTTGAGGGGAGGCATAGGGCTGGGGGGAGACTGAGTTGTGTTTACACTGGAGTCTAGGGTCCTAGGTAATTACCAGGGACTCTGGATCCAGGTCAGATCTAGTCTTCTGTTTAACTCTACCATGATAGCATTCTGAGAAACTCAAATCAATAAACACATGCAGCAGAACTGGAGTATGGGGAGAAACATAGACTGTGGTTCCTGCCTGGGGGCG